TGTGGGAGAGGCTTCCCCACCCTAAGTGAATTAAAACAACATGAACTCCGTCACAGTGAGGTTAAAAAGCACCTCTGTGACCAGTGTGGGTCATCCTCGGTCATCTTAAAAAACATAAATGAATCCACACAGTAGAGAAACCATACAAGTACAGATGCTGTGACAAAAGCTTCCCATGTTCATCTGGTTGTAACATGAATAGAATAGAATTCAACTTTATTTTCATTGCACATGTCACAAGTACAAAGCACCGAAATGTACAAACTTCACACAATATACACACACACACACACACACACACACACACACACACACACATATATATATATATATATGCACACACACGTACATACATACATAATTGCCCCGCCCCTGCGTGTGGTCTGTTCTTTGAGGGTCCTGTTCAGTATCTTGGCTGTTCAGAGATCTGTGATGTTGTTCCTGGGAAGGCTGTACCAGTGGCTGTCCAAGTTGCAAGTTTTTTTTTTTCATTGTGGTATTTCAAAAAATTTTATTTTCCTGGGTCTTGGTATTTTTTTGTATTTGTGCTATCGGGACAAGCCTGCTGTAATCAGCACTGTCCAGCTTCACTCATTTTCTCCTGGATTGTAGCTATTGGCAGTTGCCCTTTTGTTGGTCCATGTGATGAAAAACACAAACAAGATCTGATTTTGTAGGAAACACCACAGATTATTACTCTGAATGGTATTTCCCTGGACTCCAGTTCAATTTTTGACACAAACTTCAAGTTGGATATTACACATTTCAGGGACCGCCTTCTTTCATTGGGATATCCATTTCATCACATCTTGACTGCTTTAATTTAATCTGGATGTCAAAATAAGGCTTTGAAATAACTTTTTAGGTTGATTTAATAATCATTAAATGAGAAGTCTGGAGAGCAGAAAATCCTGGTGGGATGGGAGTCTCAGCTGTACTAATATTGCCACACTAACATGCTTAAACGACAGTAGCTGCTTTTGGCTGTTCCCTTGTTCCACAGATTTCTTTGGGTAGCTTTTATTTTTAATGCTGGATGCTCTCCCTGAAGCACATCCAAAGGCATTTGTCTCTTTCCTCAGTGGAAACAGTGATCTTCTGATGTGTGAACTATTATGGCATTGGAACCACCAGAAATACACTCACGGAAAAATGTATCACCATTCAAAGTGTGTTAGCCTGCTGATCTCCAAAAGTTGATTCTGTTCATCTGGATGTTTTCAGTGGGAGAAACGTTTCGTCATTCATCCAGGTGACTTCTTCAGTCTCAGCTGACTGCAGGTTTCCCCAAATCTTATAAACAGTACATTTGCATAATGACTGAAACCAATCATTATGCATAGTCATTATAAGCTTGGGAAAACCTGCAGTCAGCTGAGACTGAAGAAGTCACCTGGATGAATGATGAAACGTTTCTCCCACTGAAAACGCTGCGTCCAGATGAACAGAATCAACCTTTGGAGATTTACTTTCCTGGATGATTGGGAATGCATCAAGACGTTAGCCTGCTGACATTAATATGTGTCAAAGCACTACGTATGGAAGCAATTTTCACGCGGTATTCCTTAGATTATTATCTCAGAGGTTACATTCTGGGACCCCTGTGATTGGTGAAAATCTGCATAGTAGAAACCAGATCTTTATTTTATTATTATTATTTTTTATAGATAGTAAACCATGAAAACCCTCCCCACTTTCTTACACACCCGATTATAACCCTGTTAAATTTTTTGGCAAGGGAAATTTTCCTTTTTCTGCAAAAATAATGGAAAGATTAATGCCTTTAGGCCACAGAAAGCCCCACAGAAATCTACATTATTAAATTTCTTTAAATTACATTATTGTATTTGCTCATTTAGTTATGCAGTAGTTTATTTTGTCTTTTTATTTGTCCTTTCTGTTTTATTGAAACCACTTTATAGAAAGTTACATCGGTTACAATGAACTGTACATACAACCAGTAGCGGTTTTTGATACGGGCGACATGGGCGGTTGCCCGGGGCGGCATCACGGGCATCGGCAAACAAAAAAAAGGCACGATCGGTTTGCTGAGAGGAAGGGCGCCCTCCCTTTGTGAGGTGCGCCTGCTGCTTGCGGCACAGGGGGGAGAGGGCGGGGCGACGGCGATTCTCTGGCTGGCTGGAGCGGCATCTAATAACCAACTTGCAAAATAAAACAAAATAAAAACAAACCAACAAACACAAAAACACCAGACATCATGATACAGACTTATAATTTGCACCGATGGGTTTTCAAAGTTCTATAAAGTGAGCGCGAGAGCCCTCGGTCATCTCTGCTACATACAGTCCAGTATATACGGGACGACGAGGTTTCAGTTACAGCAGTGCCAGAAAACAAGCAATAAATATAAGAAGAGTAAGAAAGCAAATATACACTTTATTACCAGGGGTAAAGGGATCAAAAACAATTTGTAATTTACAGTTTGATTCTTAAAGTCTCACACACAACACATCGAAAGGGGAGGGGGCCCGGCTGCTTCCGAGTAGAGCACATTTCATTTATAATGTTGTAAATCTGATCCCATTATGTATTCATGATTTGAATCCTGGGTTGTGCGAAATCCCAGAAATAAACCTTAGACAAAGGGAGTGTTCGCCCAGGGCACCAAACAGGCTAGGACGGCCACTGCATACAACACAGCAGTTTTAAGAATATTTAACAAGTGCAAGTTTCATTTCGCCCTGGTTTCACAGCCACACTTGGGTGTGTCTGAAGGATTTCCCTCCTCACTGACTTTCTTTTGCTGCTCTTCTTTGTGTCTTTATAAACTGGTGGTGTTGCCACAGCAGAAACTTTTCTTCACACACACATGGCTGTTTTTATTTACAGCTGTGAAATATCTCCACATGCTGCTCCTCTTTCTCACTCTCTGCAGCCAAAATGTATTTTCTTCAGGGCAGCCGAGTCACGTGATCGCACCGAACGAATCAAAGCAGATCAGGAAGAAGGGGGCGGAGCAAAGTGTGCGTGCAGGAGAGGAGCCGAGCAGAGAGAGCTGCTTTGTCATGAAACGGGAGTAAAGTAGTGAACTTAGAGGAGAGAAACGAACTAAAGTATCGATCATAAACCACTACCAACGTCCTGATCGACATCTGCATCGATCTGCCCACCCTTGTCTCCTGGATCGTAGCTGCGATCAGCGTGAACCACGTGGGTCTCTGCTCCCTGATCTGTTTCCTGTGTTTGGAAAGAGTTGCAGCTTCATCGCGGAGTTTCTCTCGGTTTGTGGGCTCATCTAAAGGTAAGCACCGAGCTAACTTTACTGTGAGTTCAGTTCATGTTGAGTTTAGCTCCTGAATGAGGTCTTCTGCTGCTCTCCTCGGTGTCTGTTCACAGTTTATTGTGAACACGTTGAGAGAAGAGTGAGAGAGTGTTTGGAGAAAAACACCAACTAACCATTAGCTCAGCATGCTGGGAGAAGTTGGAGCAGGAAAGTCTTTTCATTGTCCCTGCAGCTGTTTCTCTGCCTGCACCAAACCTCTACAGCCTCATTTCTATTTAAGTGATAACAGGAAGGCAGAGCGATCTGCTGCAGTATCAGGGTCACTATAACTTTATTGTCCAGCTGCTGTGGATGAACACATGAGAGGCAGTGAGCGATAAAATAAAATAAGAAAAGTTATAGATTGACATGGGTGAGAGTTGTTTATACAGACATTGTGGAAGGCAGCATGCAGGAATGAGGGAGTAAGTAGGGCGAATATCAGCAGCCTTTACAGACAGTTGCATCAGTCCACTGCTTCAGTGTCTTCACCAGAGATGGGCAGTTACAAGTAATGTGTTACTGTAATCCGATAACTTTTTTTCAAGTTATTTTAAATGTTAAACAAATTTCTTCCAGTCAGTGAATGTTGCATATAATTAAATTTTGCTCGATGCATAAAGTTAAAAGATTAAAACTAATAAAACAAATTTTAAAAAGAGACTTTTCCACTTGATGACATTATATATGATGGACTCGCTGTCGCTTTATCACCTATTCAGGGTGTAAATCATGTTTTTAAAAAGTAACTAAATAACTAATTACTGACAAAAAATAAGTAATCAGTAAAGTAACGGGATTACTTTTCATGGGAAGTAATCATTAATTAGTTACTGATTACTTTTTTCAAGTAATTTGACCAACACTGGTTTTCACAAAAGAGAGTTTTAGTTTGTGCCTGCTCGCAGGGATCAAGTCAGACATTTAGTCTGAGTAGATTTGAACTTTCCTTCTTCATTGTTTCCATCTTGCTTTGACTGCAGCTGTAACAACACTGATTCCAGCAGGATTTGTAAAAAGCATTTTGACAGACACACAAAGCTGGACAGCTTTTGTTCTGAGGGTTTGGAGAGAGCCTGTCTGTGTGTCTGCATTCACTTTGTTCCTCTAACAGAAAATCAATGTGCAGATGTTGATTCCTGCAGTGACTGTTGTTCTTCAGCCTGTAGAAACCATCCTGCAGCTGCTGGAACAAATGAATCTTCTAAATGTTGCTTTCTCTGGTTTGTGTTTGCTCTGCTTCTTTTTGTCAGAGATCAAATACATAAAAATATTCTTTTGTGTCCCAGCTGATCAGCAGGAGGAGAATCTGACGGAGGAACAGTTTCAGCCATTTGGACTCAGCTCAGCCACTACAGAGGAAACAATGAGCTCAACACAGATGGTGAGAAAAACATCTGTTACACTGTTATTGAAACTGTGCACAGCTGGTTGTTAACAGCAGCTTTATCTTTTCCATCCTGGGCTCCTCCACACATACAGAAGCTACATTCACAAATAAAAACCACAGGAGTTACAAGAAAATACAAAGATCATTTTTTATCAGGACACTGAAATAAAATATAATCAGCTGCACTTATAATTTTTTCAGATGGTATATTTTTTTCCCAATGAGCAAAACAATTTCCTCATTGTCATTTTGATTACAGACGCAGTTTCAGTTTGTTCCACGGCTGCATTTCACTCACTGCCTCTATTTGTATCTCTGTCACTGCAGGACCAACATGGAGCGAGAAGTCAGCGCTCTCAGGAGGCCGACAAACCTCACAGAAGAAAGGGAGAGAAGAAATACAGCTGTGATGAGTGTGGGAAGAATTTTACTCTGAAGTCTGAGCTAAAACATCATCTGTTCATCCACACTGGGGAGAAACCATTCATCTGTGACTTGTGTGGAAAGTCTTTTAGACAGCCTGCAAACTTAAAAAAACACCAAGTCACCCACACTGGAGTTAAAGCGTACAGCTGTGATCAGTGTGGCAAAGCTTTTACTGTCAGAGGCAACTTACGGCGTCATCAAGTTACCCACTCTGAAACTAAGGCGCACAGCTGCGACATTTGTGGGAAAACTTTCACTCATCTAACATACCGAAATACTCACCTACGCATCCACACCAGGCAAGATGTTTACTGCTGCGATCAGTGTTTGAAACCGTTTGTGACATACTATGAATTACAGCAGCACATGCTTACCCACACTGAGGAGAGACCTTATAAATGTGACCTGTGTGAGAAGGCTTTTAAAGAGCCAAATTCCCTGAGAAGACACGAACAGATCCACAGCAGAAAGAAACTCTACAAGTGCAGTTACTGTGAGGTTTGTATTTATATTTCTATCTTGTCATTTTCAGCTGACTGTACGGAACAACTCTTCTCATTCAGTTGTTAGTATGTTGGCAATTCTCCTGCATGTGAAGGCAGCGCTGCGTGAGTTTCAGCTCTTATTTCATTGCTCAGCTTAGTTCTCCACACTCTGGACTCTCTGCTCGGTTCAGCTGGTTTTCCTGCTGCTCTGTAAAGTCAGCAACTCGCCCAGTCCTCCATGTGTGATGTCTTGTGAACCTTAATGTTCCATCCATGACCTGTTCAACCTGCAGTAATTACTCATTAACATCTAACTTCAGTCTGCTACCTGCTATGGTAAAGACAACAGATGGCAGATGCCACCAGTATACCCTCCTCACTGGTCGCTTTGCCCGCTTCAGCATCATCACAGTCAGTTTTATTTATGACACCATTAGGGTGCAGGAAGCTGCTACAGTTTTGTCCTGAGCAATAGGTATCACCACTCAGACAACACCACATGGAGGTATAGAAAGAGAAGTAGTCAAAAGTAGAAGCAGATTTCTTTCTTTTTTTTTTCTCCACAGTGTCTCAGGTTTGTGTTGCAACATCTCCTTTGGATGATGCTTTGGATAAAAATGTTGAAGCAATTCCCTGACTTACACTGTCTTTGTGTCTTTGTTTAGAAGCAGAGCGACACAGATGGATCCAGTTCTCAACCGTGTCGCCACTGTGGTGGTGGGAAAGCGTTGCGTTGTGACCTTTGTGGAAAAACTTTCAATAATGAAAAGAACCTAAAGCTACATCAACGTAGACACACTGGAGACAAAATGAACTACTGCAAAGAATGTGGGAGAGGCTTCCCCACACCAAGTGCATTAAAAGAACATGAAATCTATCACAGTGGGGTTAAAAAGCACGTGTGTGACCAGTGTGGGTCATCCTTCACCACTGCAGATCATCTTAAAGTGCATAAACGAGTCCACACAGGAGAGAAACCATACAAGTGCAGACACTGTGACAAAAGTTTCTCGTACTCAGGGAGTCGTAACAATCATGAACTTACACACATTGAAGGAAACTACAGCTGTGACCAGTGTGACAAAAGCTTCAAGAATCTCAGTTCATACTCCAAACACAAGCGATCCCACGCTGTTAACAAACTTTTTCACTGTTACCAATGTGCACAAACATTCACTTCATTATCTGCTCTACGCAACCATCGACGTGATCATGCAGGACTGTGATCACTGGATCACAATGAATCTGCAGAGGCAGAAAGATCCTCTCCTGGTTTCAGGGTCAGACTTAAAAACCTTGAGATCAGGCTCCACAGAGTTCAGGTGGAGTCTCCTGTAAAGAGTGCCACCTGATGTCACACTTGGATCTGATGAGGTAGCTCTGCTTTCTGGAGCTGCAGTGAATAATCCTGGGGTTTATTTAGGAAGCTGCAAGTATAGATGTGTACATCAAGTTTTTTTCCCTTTGAGGGATTTTAATATTCTAAAATGTTATCCCTGTTACATTTTAATCTTTGTTCTCTTAGGATATAAAGGTTATAGGAATACATTTTATTTTATATTACCAAACTGGTATGTTTCTAAACTGCAGATGTGCATAGAAACATTATTTTTTTACATTTCATTTTAACTCCGTTTTTTTTTTTTTTTTGCTTTTTCCCCCAAATCTACTGTTTCACTGTTACCAATGTGTAATTATGTTCATTATCTGCTCTGTGCAAACATCATCATGACAATGGCTGAAATCATTCCTATCATTGGATCATAATGAACCCTTCAACTGACAGGGAGCTTGTTCCATCCTTGCAGGAGTCCACTCTGCAGGTGGGGGAGAGGTGAGAATAAACTTAACCTGGGTGTCTACTGTCTTGTGCAGTCTTGGAGATGATTGAATGTTAGGGTGGGGGAGCTGGCCCCAGGGAGGGGCATCTTGCTCCTCCCTTCTTTTCCTCCCCATCCCCGGCTGCCTCCCTCTTCCCGCTCCAACACACCCACACAAGTAGGGCCTTGGGGTGCGGGTGTGTCACCAGGGGACAGGGGAGGCATCCCCCCCACCCCCTGTCCCCTTCTGGCCACCTGTGCCTCAATTTTATCTCACAGCTTAGACATCCACATTACTCACACTCTCATAACACATACATATAGGGCCTTGAGGGTGGGCACATTAACAGCGTCCAGTGGACGGTCTGTGTGTTCAACCCCACCTCTGGCGGCGGTGCCCACCTCTCAATTTTAAATCCAAGTAGACATTGAGGGTTCTCGGGAGAGGCCGTGCTAACACCTGCTGCTCTGGCAGCAGCACCATGCTCTCCCGTTTTTTTTAAATGCACCCGGGGTATAGGGTTTGTTTGGGGAGTGTGATTGTGTGTTCAGTGTCCATGTATGTCTATCCCTACTTTGGGTGAGTGCTGAGTATATGTGTGCATGAGGGTGGGAATGCATGTTTGTGTCTGTTTGTCTGTGTCTATATGTCAGGTCGGGTCTTAGACTCCACCTCTCTGGGAACTCCAAGGCCCATCTCCCCTCACCACACTCCCTGCCGGTGACTGATGCCTTCAGGTGATCCAGGCGATTTTTTTTCTCTTCTTTCTCTTTTTATGTTTCCTTTCTCACTGCCCCTCTTCCCTTCTGTTTTTCTTTTCCTTCATCTTTCTTTCTCCCTTTCCTATCCCTCAGCCATGTCTGTAACAACTGAAAATAAAATAAATAATAACAACAAAGGTTGATCAAATGGACCAATACGGCAAGGCCATGATGATCCATTTGGCAAAGTAAATCCATCGGGTCTCCTTGTTGGTCTTCAGACAACAATTCTGACGGCTAAAGAACCAAATGGGACAGGCAAAAAAATAAATAATCTGAAGAGACAGACAGTTCTGTTGCATTTGAGAAGGTTGATGTGAAAGCTGCTGTAATTTCTGCTGAAATCCCTCATCTGTTATACATCAGGTTTCTCTTAATTTTTCCTTTAATGTTTATTTGAATTTTAATTCTAAAAATGTTCTCCTTATTACATGATCATTGTTCCTCCACTTGGAAACAGTAGTATTTAGTAGTAGTAATAATAATAGTACTATAATCAAAGAAATGTCTCACTGATCTATTAATTGTCTATGTATCACAGGCATTCAAGCTGTAAATAGTTATATCATTACTTAAAAAGTCATCCCAGGACTCAGCTTGAAAACGAAAAACTCGCTGAAAAGCCTTCAGCTGATCCAAAATGCTGCAGCAAGAGTCCTGACAGGGACTAGAAAGAGAGAGCAGATTTCTCCTGTTTTGGCTTCCTGTTAAATCCAGAATTCAAAATCCTGCTCCTCACATACAAGGTCTTAAATAATCAGGCCCCATCTTATCTTAATGACCTTGTAGTACCATATCACCCTATTAGAGCACTTCGCTCTCGCTCTGCAGGCCTACTTGTTGTTCCTAGAGTATTTAAAAGTAGAATGGGAGGGAGAGCCTTCAGTCCTCTATTTTAATTGTGGTACAATCCAAAGATGCCTTCTGTTACTGTGGTCCTGTCACCTGCTGACTTGAGATCAGTTACATCTTTGCATACATTAAAAACAGACTCCAGACCTTTTTTCATTGGTGGTGTTGTTAGGTTTAGTTTAGTTCTGTTTGCTGTTTTCACTGCCTTAAGCTGTTGTAAACCTAAACAGGTTTTTATGTCTTTATCTTCTGTGTTAAGAATATTTAGTTAACATGTAATAAAATGTGTGATATAAATAAAATTGCTATTTTCAGAAGCGTCTTAATTCTTCATGACAGAGATTTAACCAGTTACAGAATCATTCCTCATAACTAGGGATGTAAGAAAAATATCGCTCGAAAATCACAATATTTTGTTTTATGATACCGAGTCGATATTCAAAAGCAGTGTTATTGATTTTTTTTATTGACAATTTACATGTGTGATGGCAAGGCACACATGGTAAGCTCCACACCTCACCACCAGTTGATTCACTTTAGTTTACATTGCAGTCATTAATATATTATTGTTCAATATTGTTTCTTTATTAAATGTATTATTTTTCCATCACACCTTCCAATGTTTATATGGGTGCACACATATTAACCTTGCAAGGTCAAAGTTCTGTTTTATGTTATATTAATACATCTTTCTTTGTTTGAGTTACCTGGGGGTTTGGCTTCTCCTGTCTGGAAGCTGAGCTGAGAGCTAAAGAAAGGCATCTCAAACATTATCAGTGAAACACAATCAGGTTTTTTGAAAGGAAGACTAATTCATAACAATATTAGGCTGGTTTTGGATCTCCTTGAATACAGTGAATTAATCCAAGAGAGAGGGTACATCCTGTTCTTGGATTTTTACAAAGCATTTGACTCAGTTGAACATACGTTTTTGGACAGGAATTTATTATTATTGTACAATTCTAGGCATTCCAGTATCCAGCTGTGGGGCATTGAGTCATAGGCCTTCTTGTAATCAATCCAGGCAGTGCACAGGTTGGTCAGTCTGGTCTTGCAGTCTCGGCTGACTGTTCTGTCTACCAGTAGCTGGTGTTTTGCGCCTCTGGTATTCTTGCCAATTCCTTTCTGTGTCCCCTCATGTATTGACCCATGTGCCTGTTCATCTTAGCCGATATGATGCCTGACAGGAGCTTCCATGTAGTACTGAGGCAGGTTATTGGTCGGTAGTTGGAGGGGACCGGTCCCTTCTTGGGGTCCTTGGGGATCAGGACCGTCCGACCTTCGGTTAGCCATTCCGGGTGTCTCTCGTTAACTAGCAGCTGGTTCATTTGTGCTGCCAGACGCTCGTGGAGTGCAGTCAGCTTCTTTAGCCAGTAGGCGTGAACCATGTCGGGCCCTGGTGCTGTCCAACTCTTCATACTGGAGACCCTTTCTTGGATATCTGCCACTGTGATGGTTACTGGACCCTGTTCAGGGAGGTCGCTGTGGTCTGCCCTCAGATCCACTAGCCACTGAGCATTGCCGTTATGGGTTGCGTCCTTCTCCCATATGCTCTTCCAGTATTGCTCCGTCTCCAGCCTTGGTGGTGCTGTTCTCTTATTGTTCCCTTGCCACTGAGAGTACACCTTTGCTGGTTCTGTGGAGAACAGCTGGTTTATTCTCCTGCCTTCTATCTCTCTGGTGTACCTCCTCAAGCGGCTGGCCAAGGCTGTGAGTCTTTGCTTGGCAGTTTCCAAGGCCTCAGGTATGGACAGCTTGCTGTATTTCTTATGCACCTTCTTTGTCGCACCTTTCTGCAACTCCGTTAGTTGGCTAACCTCCCTCCGTGCTACTTTGATCTTGCCCTCTAGCCTCCTTCTCCTCCTCTGATAAACCTCCACCTGTACCAACAGTTGATCTGAACATGAAATCATGGCCCAAACTACTTGTTGTCAGACCAATATCTTTATTTTTCACATCAAACTGTTTTATAAAAGAAACTTTACACGGAGTTAATCAAATATAACTAATGCTTTAACAGTATCACTGTTTCACAATACAAACCCAACAAGAAAACAGCTGCAAAACACGCAGCTCAAAATGCATTCACTAAACTACACGTGGATTTAAAGAATACAGTAAATACACTAAAGTGAAAGGAGGACCCAAAAGCAGAGGTTTGATAGAATTTGAATTAAGTAAAAGTAGTCTTTGTGATCGTTTCAATGGTCCTGATATGTGCTGCACATCAGCTAACCTTAACAATTCTTTGCTGCCACTGTGAATAAGAATGTGTTCTTTGCCTGATTAAATAAAGATTACACTCACTGCTCAATCTCCTGGTACAAACTGGTACTACATGGAAGTGCAGCCCATTGCCAGTTTAGCTTGAGATTCTTTTTTGTGGACATTAAGTCAAAGCAGCTTTTGTTTCAAAGCTGGTTGACAATTAAGTTTGTATTGGGTGCTGTAAGAGCAACTAGTGTGAAATTATTTGCGGTTTTGGGAGAAAGGGATTTAAGATTAAAGTTTAAAAAGATAACACATAAAATTACAATAAAACAAGGTGGGTTTTAAAAAAGAGCATCAACATTTATCAAAGAAAAATTAAGTTGATCTATATATCCATAATTCCAACTTCTAAATTTAAGATGTTCAAAATGTTTAGTAGGTTTAATCAGCAATATGCAGACATCTGACAATAAAGAACGTGTGAAGGTGAGTGATTAAACAATGACTTGACTCAGGTACAAGTGCTTCTTGAGAGAAGTCTTTTCTTCAAGGAATAAGGCCTAGGAAGTAGGCTAAGAGGTGGCAAGGCACTCAGGTAAGTGCTATTCAGATAAGAGTTAAACAAGAATCAACAACTCTCCTCTTATTTTCTATAGGACAAACATTTTCAACATTAAAGTTTCTTTTACAGAATGAAAATCTCTCAAAGAAAAAAGAAAACACTTGATGTGCACATCTATACTTGCAACTTCCTTAGTTTAACATCCAGGATTATTCACTGCAGGTCCAAATCAGAGCTACCTCATCAGATCCAAGTGTGACATCAGCTGCACTCTTTACAGGAGACTCCAGCTGAACTCTGTGGAGCCTGATCTCAAGGTGTTTAAGTCTGACCCTGAAACCAGAAGAGGATCTTTCTGTCTCGTCAGATTCATTGTGATCCAGTGATTTCAGTCATGCATGATCACGCTGATGTTTGCACAGAGCAGATAATGAAGTGAACGTTTTTGCACATTGGTAACAGTGAAACTGTTTATTTACAGCGTGGGATCGTTTGTGTGTGGTGTAGGAACTGAGATTCTTGAAGGTCTTGTCACACTGGTCACAGCTGAAGTTCCCTTCAATGTGTGCATCTTCATGAACATTACGATGGCCTGAACTTGAGAAGCTTTTGTCACAGTGTCTGCACTTGTATGGTTTCTCTCCTGTGTGGACTCTTTTATGGTCTTTAAGCTGATTTGCAGTGAAGAAAGATGAACCACACTGGTCACAGCCGTGCTTTTTAACGCCACTGTGATAAAGATAATGTTTTTTTAATTCACTTGGTGTGGGGAAGCCTCTCCCACACTCTTTGCAGTAACTCATGTTGTCTCCAGTGTGTCTACGTTGATGTAGTTTTAGGCTATCTGGATGATTGAAAGTTTTTCCACAAAGGTCACAATGAAACGCTTTCCCACCACCACAGCGACGACAGGGTTGAGAAGTGGATCCATCTGTGTCGCTCTGCTTCTAAACAAAGACACAAACACAGTGTAAGTTATGATGATATTAAAACATCTATTGTTTCATATTGTATGCAAAACCAGCTGTTCACGGCAATATTTTTTAATCTATTTGATGGTCGCTGTAGAGGCTATATCAATCTCTTGAAGTTCTCTCTTGCTCTTTTTTATTTAACCTCCTAAGACACTCTTTCATGGCACACATTTTCAATTTCTCTTTGCTATTTGTGCTGATTGGGACCTAAAGAATGTAAAAACAAAGAATTACCTAATTATTTCTTTTATCTGACTTTTGTTTCTGAGAAAAATGACATCCACATAACAGGACGTAATAGAAAAGTGGCAGTATAGTGTACTTTAAGTTGATATCAGGCCTTTGTAAGAGCAAATGTTTTTTTTAATTTTGGTGTAAACAATCGAAATTGTGATGTCCAGGTTGTATGAGATTAAAATAACCACACTATGGATGGACAAATGAATGTTTTTATGCATACTTTCGTTAGGAAAACCACCGTTAGTGAAACCATTGTGTGACTCCGCCGTCAGCTTGTTTATTTTCCACATAAACCTGTCACGATAAAGTTCAAAATCCTGTTGTCTAAGGAGCTTGGAAAGAAAAGCGTCCGGACTTCTTTAGGTTGCTTGAAGACGTTTCACCTCTCATCCGAGAAGCTTCTTCAGTTCTAAGGTCAAATGGTGGAGAGTCCCAGATTTAAACCCCGTGGGAGTTTCCCCCCAAAAAGGGATAAAAGGACCCCCTCATGATCTTCTACCTAATCATGAGTACAGTGTGAAAACGGGTGTGGGTCACAATCAGCCAGGGTTTCGGGTGAGCTCATTGTGAAACCTAGCCCCACCCTATCATGTGATTTCCTGAGGTCAAATGGCCCAGGGTGTGAGTCAACGTTAAGGCATCTGGGAAGGGATCTCAAAACTGAACTAGAAAAAGTTGCATTTCCTGTGAAAATGCAGTGTGAATGCCGTGTAGTGGAATCTGAAAACACTGTGTAGAAGCTGAACTCTGCTGAAAACTGCTTTATTTGAAAGACTACACTGAAGAGTGTCAAGAAAGCAGATTACATGCAAGCAGGGAAGATGTGCAGCATCTGTCTCATGTAGTACTCGAACCCTTGCCACAGCAGCTGTGCAGCCCACTGCGCCAAACCAGTTCTGGCCTCAAAAACAAAGATATGATGATGATATGATATGATCTACTACGGTGGCAGTAGATGCTAATCTATGACGAAGGATACGGTGAAAGATAGTATCAAAAGCTGCTATAAGGTCAAGGAGAATGCAGGTGGTGATGAATACAATATTTGAATTTTTAAAAAAGCCCTCCACATTTTCTGGAAATATTTGTTGGTGTTTTTAATTGCTTTTTTGTACTGCTTGAACGCTGAAGTGGCCCTCCAGTGAGATGATGGCCCACAGCACATTTAAGTTACGTTACATTACTCTAAATGAGTAATGTAATGGAATACGTTACAAACTACTTTTTGGGGCATGTATTCTGTAATGTGTAGTGGAAAACAACATTGGTCACAAGATATTAACTCTCAAGCTGCTCTCCGATGCATCCATTGGAGTGTGAAAGTTAGACAGAAAGGTGAGAAACGTAAAACTTTACGTTTTTTCCAACATCAGGATAATTTCAGGAGATTTGTCTCAGATTTGACTGAATATTCTGTACATGAGGTTTTCATGTCTCATTTAGCTTTGAAATTAAAATCAATTCACAAAATACTTCAAAATAAGTGTGACTGTACAAAGAAAAATACATACCTCACAGTAAGTGCACTTGTAGAGTTTCTTTCTGGTGTGAATGTGTTGATGTTGTCTCAGGGAACGTGGCTCTTTAAAGGTCTTCTCACACAGGTCACATTTATGAGGTCTCTCCTCAGTGTGGCTAAACATGTGCTGCTGTAAATATTTGTATGCCACAAAGGTTTTGCCACACTGATCACAGAAGCAAAAATCATTTTTGGTGTGAATGCGTCGGTGAATATTACGGCTGAGTGGCCAGCGGAAGGTTTTTCCACAAATGTCGCAGCTGTACGCCTTAATTCCAGAGTGGGTAACTAGATGCCTTTGTAAGTACTTACTGCAAGCAAAAGCTTTACCACACTGATCACAGCTGTATGGTTTAACTCCAGAGTGGGTAAATAGATGACTCTGTAAACTTCCATTGTCAGCAAAAGCTTTACCACACAACTCACAGCTGTACGCTTTCATTCCAGAGTGAATAACTTGATGACGTCGTAAGTGGCTTCTGTGATTAAAAGCTTTACCACAACGATCACAGATGTACGGTTTAAGTCCACTGTGGACGAATTGGTGTGTTTTTAAGTTGCCAGAACGGCTAAAATCCTTCCCACACTCCTCACAGGTGTATTTCTTTTCTCTTTTCTGTCTTTGAAGTTCATCAGCCTCCTGAGAGTCCTGACTTCTTGCTCCATGTTGGTCCTGAGGTGACAGAGATACAAACAGGCAGTGAGTAAAATGCAGTCGTGGAACAAACTGAACTTTCCAACTCCCTCCATTAGTTGAATCAAAGATGTTAACAAAAACATTGTAGGTGTGTTGGTGATAGTATCACATTATAATCAGATGCTAGAATGAGAGTTGTACTTAAAATGCAGGGTTCATACGCCTTTTTTAGAGTAAAATTTAAACACTAATAATAATAATAATAATAATAATAATAATAATAATAAATAATAATAATGGATTGCATTTATATAGCACTTTTCGGGGCCCTCAAAGCGCTTTACAATTCCACTATTCATTCACTCTCACATTCACACACTGGTGGAGGCAGCTACAGTTGTAGCCACAGCTGCCCTGGGGCAGACTGACAGAAGCGAGGCTGCCATATCGCGCCATCGGCCCCTCTGGCCAACACTACTTTGAGCACTTTCAAGGTCCATTTTGAAGCCCTTTCAGCACAACACTAAACATAAAAATAACGATGTATGTTTCACATCACATCAACCCTGGTAAGACCATGTGAAAATTAAAAGAAATCATCCTTGGTTGACTTAAATGCTTTTGTTCCCTTTTTGTCAAAACTTACAAAAACGCACGACACAAAAATACTGCAAAGGGAAAAGGTCGTCTTGTATGTATATAGTGTATGAACTCAGTTAAAAATGAAGATGTGCAAATGTGAACAAATCAACATGTTGAGATATTCATGTCACATTGAAAAAAACAAAAACACCCCAACCCCACAAAACAAGAATAACAGTGTTTATGGTTGGACGAACCCCATACCTCAGTACAGCACCAATCATTAGAAATGCAAACACCCAGTCAACTTCATTTCTCAACATATTGACTTTAGACTGATTATACATACATGTGATGCCATTGTGTTTATCTTGGGTTAGGTCTGCAGATGTGACCTGCACATGTAATGTATGACGCCTGGTTTACAATCTCTTGGTCAGGTATTTGCACAGGCTTGGGAGATGATGCGCTCTGTGAGTCTTCATTTGAGCGTGTGTGGTGCTGTGGTGTTTGCAGTGCGAGTGTAGAACTATCCAGAATGGTTGGTGTCCTGGCACTCAGGGTCATAGTCATGGAGCTATGGCGGCGGCGGATCTGCCATTGGGAGGATGTGGCAGCGATTCCTCCTGTAGGTTCTTCTGTCGATCTGGATGATGTAGGATCGTGGCTCGTTGCTCTTCCTTCCTACAGTTCCTAGCTTGTCAGAGCCTTTTTCTGTCTGCGTTCAGACCACTTGTCCTTCTTGCAATGGCTGTAGTGTGCAGCTGGACCTGTCCCATGACATTTTAGTGTGCGACTTTTGACACAAAGTCCGTCACTGATCTGCCCTGAGATCCTTTGTGACGAGCTCTAAAAGCTTGCTGCACACAGTAATCCCTGCGCGTGTCTGATGAGGCATGAGACGTTTGTCAGGGGAGCCTAGTGTTGCAGGGAATGTTTCTAAGGTTTAAGAAGTCAAGAAAAAGTAAGTCCAATTTCTCTGTGATTTCTCCATGAGTTGTTTCTCACTATGTACTGCTCTCTCAGCAAGACCATTTGACTGTGGAAACTCTGGACGAATGAGTGAAGTCCAGTTGCTTCGCAAACTCGTTGAACTGCTGACTTGTGTACTGTCTGCCATTGTCAGTAATGAGCGTGTGTGGTGCACCGCTGCTGTGGTTGAGTGACCGAGAAGGTTGATCTCAATCCATCTTGAACAGGAATCTACATGGACCTGGTATTGTTTTCCATGCCAGGTGAAAATTTCGGGAGGTCTGTAGAGGTTCTGTCTTCTGATGCGCATTAGTGCTGCTGCACACTGTGCAAGAGTGCAGCTCTTCCGTGATGTCTTTTGACATTGCCAGCCAAAAGATGAAACCTTTAGCTTTATGCCTAGATGACCTTTGTGGACAATATTGGTGTATTCTTTGTGCAGGGATTGGGGAATCCTCCACGCTGAGCTCATCCCTGTATGGAAAAAAGGGGCTAGAGCGGGCTTGACTTGGCTCTCGCTGGATGACTGTGCTGAGGGCTTGTAGCACATCACTCACTGTCATCACTTCATAATCAGTGTGTTCAACTCGGCTTTGTGACAACGGAGCGAGTGGAGCTCTAGAAAAGGGTGTCAGCAAGATACATGTGCTTTCCTTTTTTGTAGACTAGGCTGATGTCATAACTCTGTAGTCGGAGTAACATCCCCTGGAGCCAGGCAGGGGCGACATGGATGGGCTTTTTCATTACGGTCACCAGGGGTTGGTGGTCAATTGCTTTGACAATTGTCGCCTTTCCATAGACAGAATCTTTAAATTTTGTGCAGGCGAATACCATGGCTAAAAGCTCCTTCTCCATATCAGCATATGTCCATGGGAGCATGCGATGCAAAAAACTTGCACGTGTTACATACACGTAGTCGAACATTATTTTCTAGGACTCACGTAAACTTCCCCATTGTGAAAAGGTGCAAATCTTTGTTCCAGACATGGAGAGGTGCAAGGCTCAGATCAGGAGCAGAACTTTTGTTTCTAGACTTTGCGACTCATTTTATTTCTCTGTTAAGAAAAATATTCAATCAGATAGTTATTTGTGGTGAATGAAATGCAGTTCCAATTTCAACCCGTTTTAAGCACCACATCTAAAGTTCAAGCACTTTTCACACCTTGAAAGGACTATTAAAATCCAAGGATTTTCAAGGCTTTCAAGCACCCCTACAAACTCTGAAAATTCTACTGGTGAAGAAATATTGATCACTGCAGAAACTCTTCAACTGCTTTTATTGTTATTTAAATGTTTGCTGTATTTTCTTGTAATTTCTGTGGCTTTTCTGTGTGAATGTAGATTCTGTATGTATGGTTTTATGTTCAATATACTTAAAATTGTTAATCTTATGGGTGTAATTAATATTTTTACATTTGATTTAATCAATTGTAAACCGTTTTAATGTTAAATAATAGTGATATTTCCAATTCATTGAACACATTTAATTAAATCCAAAGAGCCCTTTCCACATCCTTTATGAGCATGCGCAGAGAATGAAAAAAAATCTTCGCGCATACGCATTGACCTTCTTCATCTACGCCACAGTGTGCTTTGGCCACGTGTCTGGAAAGAGGGATTAATCGCGATTCATCCGTTGGAGTTATGGTAATTTCTTCGTATTTTTAATAGAATATAATTTAACTAGGACTTTGTGATAATATATGGGGTATATTTTTCTGATAAAAATATAGGCTTTATATTTTTCCGGTAAATATATGGGCCGTATGTGTTCTGTAGGTTTTAGCATTTTGCTAGCATTGGAAACATTTGTTTGCATATTCAACGTTACTGCACATCTGAATATTTCCCAATCTGTGTTTAAAATTTCATTAGAACTCCAAATAGCACATTTTGCCACAACTCAGTGATACAGTAGATTATTTTTTTCACTCAAACTTGGTATAAATACTGCAAATGTGGTGGTAGCCCGCATACCTCATATAAATGTGACAGTGTGTAGTTTTTGTCATTAATTTCTGGAAATATCTATTGAAATATTTTTGATTCCTTCTGAACATCACTCCTATGCAACTACACTTTTCTTCCTACTTTCGGGTGGTACACCACGCTAAAGCAGCGTATTCCACGACCCAATGTATTGGAATCAGTGTAACTGGACTCCCAATGGCAGAAAACTGCACACTGTCACTTAAAATATTGGAATAAAAGCTGCTTTTCCCTTTAGTATATTTTGGAAAAGCAGACATTTGTGAAAGTAGGTGTCTGCTGTGCATCCAGTTAAAAACCATACATCTAGATTTTCAACTAGCAGGCTATGTTACATTACTGTGACAGCTAGTGCGCATGCGCACGCGCACCCTTCAGTTCGCTTATCAGCCTCGTCTCGGAACTGAGGACGCCATCATCTACCTGCTCAATCGTGTCTACACCCATCTGGACCAGCCGGCGAGCACTGTGAGGGTCATGTTTTTTGACTTTTCCAGTGCTTTCAACACCATCAGGCCGACCCTCCTGGGTGATAAGTTAGCAGCGATGCAGGTGGATGCTTCTCTGGTGTCCTGGATTGTTGATTACCTGACAGGAAGACCACAATATGTACGTCTCCCACAGTGTGTGTCTGACAAGGTGATCAGAACAGGCACACAGGGGACTGTCCTCTCCCCCTTCCTCTTCACCCTCTACACCACAGACTTCAGCCACTGCACAGAGACCTCCATCTTCAGAAGTTTTCTGATGACTCTGCGGTGGTTGGATGCATCAGCAGGGATGATGAGACAGAGTACCGGGCTGTGGTCGACTCCTTTGTCACGTGGTGTGAGCAGAATCATCTGCAGCTCAACGTGGCAAAGACCAAGGAACTGATCGTGGACTTCAGGAAGACCAGGAAACACTTGACCCCTGTTTCAATCCAGGGGGTCAGTGTTGACATTGTGGAGGACTATAAATACCTTGGAGTACACATTGACAATAAACTGGACTGGGCTAAAAACACCACAGCACTTTACAGGAAGGGCCAGAGTCGTCTCTATTTTTTGAGGCGACTGAGGTCCTTCAACATCTGCCAGAAAATGCTGAGGATTTTCTATGAGTCTGTTGTGGCCAGTGCGATCCTCTATGCTGTTGCATGCTGGGGGAGCAGGCTGAGGGTCGCAGATGCCAACAGACTTAATAAACTAGATCCGTAAGGCCAGTAATGTTGTGGGGATGGAGCTGGACTCCCTCAAGGTGGTGTCGGAGAGGCGGATGCTGTCCAAGATAAAGACAATGTTGGATAACACCTCCCACCCACTCCATGACATGCTGGTCAGTCACAGGAGCTCGTTCAGTGAGAGACTGAGATTACCGAAAAGCACCACTGAACGACACAGGAAATCTTTCCTGCCTGTGGCCATCTCCCTGTACAACGCATCCACTTAACACACTGTTTGCTGCTACAACTACACACGTTTCTTTTCCAACTATTTATTTATGAGTGACTTATGTATGCATGCATGTATGTATGTATATGTATATATTGTACTATTCTTAGTTAGTGTATTGTCTGTCTTGTCTTAATGTTGGTTTAAAATGGAGCACTGTAACAAAAAATAATTTCCCCCAGGGATCAATAAAGTATTCTGATTCTGATTCTTTCTCCCTGCAAGTTGTGGAATGAGGATTAGAAATTCATCTTTATGGGGAAAAGCATGTTTAAAATTACTTAGGAACAATTATGAATTGGTTAAACAACAATAAAAATTGACTTTAAGTTCTGTGGGGGCCTCTACAAACATCAAAAAAGTAATTGCCATGCATGTGTTGTTTTGTTTAGAGTTCGCGAATCGAAGCGTGAATGCATCCTTAAAGCTTTGATTATATACCTGAATGAGAACCCTCAAAATCTCATCTAAGAGTACATGGTACGTTTATTTTTAAAGGGATATTCCACCCCTCAGTAAAATTTTGACTGTCATAATTCCCAGAGTTTTGTAAGTTGAAAAATTTATTTTCTAAACAAGCCCAGGCATTCTCCTGATCTGGCAGCAATCAGTTTTCTTTAAATTAGCTTACAACAATAAAGTGCATGGGAACTACTAGGATTTTATTTCCATTCACTTACATTGTTTTATGCTAAACTAAAGAAAATAACCCTGTACAGCAGAATATTAATAATAATAATATTATTAATATTGTTGTTATTATTATTATTAACAATAATATTAATAATAATATTATTATTATTAATATTATAAATTTAGCACCGATCCATCTGAGTGAGGTGTAAATCAACTCTTCACTCAGTGTAAAGGGGAAAATATTCACCACCTGTTGTGTAGCAGGTAGCATCCAGCTGCTGCTGGACTCCAACCCTTCATCTTACAGCCATTTTATTGTTTTTGTCGTCCTTTCCGTTACAACTCACACAACTATTGGAAATGCCTCCTCCTTGGCCAACTTGGTTATTTACTCCAAAGTCACATTTTATCTCAAGAGGGGTTGAGACTTCCTGTTTGCCCGGGGAATGTTCGCAAGAAAAATGTGCTCATAGGGTGTTTCGTTAGCGTTGTGTGGCCATACACCACAGATGGTAGGGGCACCCACAAGTGTCCATTTCTTAGTTTTGTTTTTGTCATTCGATATGTGTGCGGTCTGGAACTCTCTCGACCGTGTGAACCGGCCTTAACGGTGTGCACCGCTGCATGCTCCTTCTGCCCTCTGTCCATGTTTCATTTCTCTTTTTCTTGGTCTTTATTTGGTGATAGTCTTAAATCCACACTTTTCTTTGGTCTGTTCTCCTCAGTCTCATTCAGGGATCTGTGTAATCAGGGTAGTTTGGACCATTTATCTAAAATGGAGTGAATAGACAGATGATGCGATGACCAAAATACAACGGATTTAACATATTTCTGTCCTTTTTAGGATTTCAACATGATGGAAGAGCTGGAGAGGATGGATTTTTGGTGTTTATAAAATAATCCACAAAGGAGCACAGCCTGATGACTCCCTTGAAGATGTTGGCGAGCAGGTGTGCACTTTTGCCTGGGCTAATTTACTGGCTCAATCCGAGTTACCCAAAGCCACTTCGCTACACATTTGAGTTCTTCCAGAAGGTGCTCATGGGACTGGAAGACAAATAACGGTCTAACAAAATACAAGTGCTGAAGAAAAAACTCTGCCATTTTT